CCAGCAAGTTAATGTGTGTGTAGTGGTAGGCAGGGGTTGGAAGAACTTGGGGCGTAAGTGCTCCGGGAGCCAGAAAAGATCCCGTAGGTTATGTGTTTGCACCCAGTGCGATTCTATTTGGGTCCACTGTAGTGGTTCCCCCATTGCTGTGGCAGTTTTGACCGATGCCAATTGGGCTGCTCTATAATATGTTCGTATGCATGGGAGGCCCAGTCCTCCCTCCACGATTGGGTTTTGGAGGGTCACCGCTGCCACCCTTGGTCTTTTGTTAGCCCACACATACTGAGTTATTGTTTTCTGTAGAGCGGTTATGTATGATTTCGGCAGTGCTATGGGGAGGGTGCGTAGTAGGTATTGGAACTTGGGCAGCAGCATCATTTTGATTGCCACCAATCTTCCTACCCATGATAAGAATTTACCTTTCCAACTTTCTTGCTGTTGTTGGGGCGTGAATGTGGGTAGCTGTATCGCGTTTAGGTATGTTTTAATGGCTTGGGGTTGTGGTTGGTGCGTGTTTGGGTCGTTTGCTAAGTTGTACAGTGAGGTATAGTATTTGGCGAAGACGTTGCTTATGTCTTTGGGTGCCGTCACTTTGTGTCCCTTTTCTGTGGTGAGGTATGCTATTTTCTGTTTTGTCTGTATGGCTTTAAGATGTTGGGCTACTAGTTTGCCAGCTTTATTGCCTTGGGAGTAGTTGGTTGCTTTGATTTTATTTAGGTGGCGGCCTGTTTGTTCTAAGGCTTGCTTGTGTATTTCCTGCGTAATTGTCATTATGCGGGACTTTAGCTCTGGGGTCGGGGTTCTTTGGTTTTGGGTGTTGAGGTCCTGGAGTTCTTTTTGCCATTTCCGCCTGTGTCTGTCTTTTTTGGTTGGCTGCCCTTTGTATCAACAATCCCCGTATCACCGATTTGTGGGCCTGCCAAACAGTGTTGTGTGGGGTTTGGTCCGTGGTATTTTCTATAAAATATTGTGTTAGTGCATTCGCTATGTACTTTGCGAATTCAGGGTTTGCTAGGTGGGAGCTGTTTAGTCTCCATGGGCTTCTGTGGGAGGGTTCATAGAGGTCGACCAAAGTTAGCATGACCGGGGCTTGGTCAGACCACGTTATCTGTTCTATGGTGCAGTCCTGAACCTGCTCCAAGTGTTGGCCCTTTATCAGTATAGCATCTATTCTAGAGTAGGTGTTGTGTACGGTGGAGAAGAAAGTGTATCGTCTCTCCCCTACATGTGTCGCCCTCCAGGTGTCGTAATAGTGATATTCGTGCAATAATTTTTGAATCGCTTTGCTCTGTCTCCTGAGTGGCATCATTCTAGGGGCCGTGGGCGCTATCGTGGTGTCTACCTTAGGGTCGAGCACATGGTTGATGTCTCCGCACACTACTCCTATGCCCTTTTGTATAGTTCCCAACTTTTTAAATATTTTGTGGAGAAAGTTTCTTTGTTCCTGGTTTGGGGCATAAACGTTTGTTATGGTGTATTCTACCTCATTAAATGTCCCCACCACTATGACGTATCTCCCCCTGTCATCTATTTCCAGGTGTGTAAGGGAAAACGCTACATCCTTGCTAATTAGAATTGAGGCCCCTTTGGATTTGCTCGTGTGTGTGGCATGGTATTGGTGGGGTAATCCCGGAGAAGCAATGGTGCGTGGGCATTTGTTTTGAAGTGGGTTTCTTGTAGGCATACCACCTCCGGTCTCAATCTGTTGAGGTCTCTGCGGAGTAAATTTCGTTTAGATGGGTGGTTTAGGCCTTTCGTGTTGTGGGTGTAAATTTTCATGGTGGGTTGAGTCTAGGAGGTTCAGTTTGTTGTGGCGTTTTTTGTCTATTTTGTGGGAGTGTCCCCCTTCCCAGCATTTTCGAACTGGGTGGCATCTCCCCATGTCGGGTGGGCTGTGAATGTGGCCCCCTGTGGTCCCTGTCGACACCCCATGTGGCGTGGTTTTGTGATGTTTGTGGCATAGCGTGCATATAATATGAAACACAATAATTAAAGTAAAATAACATATTTAACAAAGAAACTAAAACATAAAAGGTTGAACTTGGTGCCATGTGGATGGCCTTGCGCCAAACTAAGGCGCTGTGGAGGAAGAAGCTAACTAGTGCTTCCATGCCTGTGCGGAGCGGTCTGTAGGCCTGAAACCCTATTGATTGTGTCTTGTGCTGTCTAGCACCCCCTTTTTTTTTTCTCAGTCGTGTGGCCTAGCGGTATGATTACTGGGGCTCGGGAGGGTATGTTCTGTGTATGCCCTTGTTCTGTGTGCCTTAGTCCCCCCCCTTACCATCGGCCCCAAAGTCATTCCTTTGTGTACTTGCCACTTCTAGCGGCCTTCGGGTATTCTGTCTTCAGGTTCTGCGAACTGCGAAGTTTGTTACGGTCTGTTGCCTCGGCTGGGAGCTGCGGCGGTGGTAGGCCCCATTCTTTAAGGGCCCTCACTCCTGCTTCTGGCGTCGTGATGATGGTGGTTTTGCCTTCGTGCATGATGAGAAGTTTGCAGGCGTAGTTGTTCTGTTATCCCGGCAAAGGTTTTCCTCTTCTTTAGGGTCGCTGCTGATATGTCCGCAAAAGAGTAAAACTCTGCTAGAGACCTGGAAGACAGCCACTGGAGGTGGAGCAATATAATTTTGCAGTTTCTCCAACCAATGAGATGAAGTGGTCTGGGTGTCAATAGTGTTCAATTTGAAATGAACTTGCCTGCCAATTCTCACCTTGAATCCGGGGTCGGCGTACCATGTGGTATAGCGAGTAGGGGCAAGATTTACAAATACTAAATAATTTTTACTTAGTATTAGTAAATTTGGCTGAAAGACCAATTTAGGTCATTCAGCTTTTTGGTAGATAAGTCCCCCATGCACATGCCTAACAATCAACACATAAATGTAGGCCAAAAGTAATACTTCCATACAGGAAAACAGAATACTTCCATATATATTATATATATATATATATATATATATATATATATATATATATATATATATATATATATGAAATAAACCACAGTAGTGCACACCATATGGATAAAATATAAAAGACAAATAAAATTAAAACCTACTCACATTCGGAAATATTACTTTTATTAATAAAACTTGTCAAATATAAAATATAAAACAAAAGGAGCATTTAAAACAATATATAAATACACTTAATGTGTTTCACCATTAGCTTTCTTTTTTAAAAGTGTTTTTTAAAAAGCTTTTTTATATATTGAATTGGGTGTGTACAGCATAGAACAGGAGTCGGCACTTCAGATGTTGTTGACGTCATTACCCTTGATGTTTTACAAGCATTATGGGACATATAGTCCACAACATTTGGAGTGCCAAAGGTTGCCTACATTTGGTATAGAAGGTGCAACACGTGTTAAGTCCAGATGTATGCTGCACTGATCAAAACAATCCACAATACCTCCATGCTCTCCTCACATCATTCCTATATGAATCCAAACAAGCATTTCTTAAAAGTAGCAACTAACATGCCTTCATTCAAGCTTCCTTTTATTATTTTCATATTATGCTGTTTCCAATAATTTAACCTCAGTATCCCTACAGCTTCTGGTTACTGTCTTCCTTCAAGTTTACAGTTACTCTGACAGTAATTCTGATTGTACTTGTGCTTTTTTGTTCATGTAATTTAGATACTGATTTAATCAACTTGCTCTGCTTAAGCTGACAGATTTGAATCCATTTGACATCTGAATAATGTACTTATTTATGAAATTGTGTATAAGAACTTCAGTTACCCCACGTCCATGTTTCCACCTCCCACTTTAATTATCTGTCTCTCACTGATTGTATTTTCAGAAGCGGTAACATAAGACTAGGTCAAGCAGGGTATGCAACTGTAAACTAGCACAATGCAAATATATAGTCCATATAGTGGTGATTTAAAGAAACAGCAGCAATTGGAAAACTCACAAGTGTCAATATACTCTAATACAGTGTTTCTCAACCATTAATGCTAAATAAAATAAAAATAAAAAATACCTCTCATGGCTAATACAAATATTCTGTTTGCCGCCTCTGCCTTGAGTCTTGTATCTCACTTTGCGTGCCTCTCTAGGATTCTACACTCTTGAATATCTAGGGTCATATTAGTGCTATTTGTATGTATTTATTTTAATGCACCCATTGAAACAGTTCCAATATAAAGTTATATTGAGGATTAAACTTCTTATCAGGTTTAGTCAAGCATTGCATGAGGTTGATTGGTGTTATGTTCTACATAAGTTGTTGAGCAAGTGGGGGCGGAGCTTGCAGCCAAGCCGCATGGACGTGTGCTAGCTGAGCTCCTAAGCTAAGGAGACTGAATCCACTGACATCGGGCACTAAAAACCACAATGGGACACCCCAAGAGAGCTACCACTGGACATCAGGCATCGGGCAAACCACCCGCCGGAAAATCGGGAGCCCTAACTAAATATTTTAGAGACACGGCAGAACACCATGCCGAGCAAGTAGGCCCCAATATGGCACCGAGCTCGCCACAGGCCTGCTCCTCCCCAGCTAGCCCATCGGGGTCTGAGGACACAACACATTCATCAGAAGGGGATATAAGAGCGATACTCAGGGCGCTACCCTCTAAAATGGATTCAAATGCTACAAAAGCTGGAGGCCTCATTCCAGGCCAAGCTGGACGCTATAGGGGCTGACTTCCAGCACACTCAGTAGACCACACTACTTCGACTGCGAAAATAAGATTCTTGAGACCCTGCGACGCTCACAACAACTGTTACTATTTCATGAGGTCCCAGTAGCTATATATCCGGATCTCTCGTGGCTAACGCTGCAGGCGCGCAGAGCCTTGAAGCCGATCATGGACCAGCTCCGTTTGAGAAACCTACGCTACAGATGGGGCTTCCCCTTCTCCCTCACCGAGACCTACAAGGGATCCCCACATACCATAGCCTCCATCAGGGACGTGCCAGTCTTCGTGCGAGACTTGGAGCTGTCTGCCGTCCAGATCCAGGATTGGTATGACGTCAGACAGCTCCAAGACAAAGACCCAGCCGGCACCAATCACCTAAAAGAAGGAGAATTGCTCTGGCGGACGGGCCATCGGAGGATCTGGCATGCAACCCTAACTTCAACTGCTGTTACACTACATGGGTGATTTGGCTTGGAACTCAACTGCAGCTTGTAAACCTCCCTAATTACATGAGTGAAGATACAGAGAAACTTTAAAGTATCAATACTGTAGCTTTAAGAAAAGAGGGAATCGCTGGTAAGTTGATTCAAACGAAGTTTTAATAAGTGTTAAACTTAAATGAATTGCATTTAGGCAATAATCCAATAAGAAGAAGTGCATGTAATCAACAAAACAAAGTTCATTATTAAGTATTTCCTCAGAGATTTCCTCAGAGATGCATTAAGTAACATTCTTTGGTTAATGAGAATAATCTTCAATAGTAATAATAAGCAAATAGCTGAGAACAGTTGCAAAGCAAGAACAGTTCATAGCTAATAGGCATCATGGGAGTTGTCCTCCATACAGTTAGTAACTTGAAGCACTGAGTGTAATTGCAAAGCAAGAAACAGTTCATAGTGAATGAGCATAGTGAATAAACATGATGAGAGTTGTCCTCCAAATAATTAGGAGCTTGTAGTAGTGAAGATTTGAGTAGGCAAGACTTAGTTCATTATTAAATGAGATTGTAGATAATTAGATGAGAGGTATACTTAAGGTTAGTTGTCCTCCAGTAGTAAAGAGATAAGATCCACTTGTAAAGTGAGTTTCCGTTCTCCAGCATTCCTCTATAACTTGAAGCATACTTGTCTTAGCCCGATGGCTAAGACAACATCAGAGCTTGAAGAGCTGGCGTCTCCCAGGAGCCGGCGTGTACACTCGGAAGTCGGACCCACATTGCCAGACCCTGTGGAGAGGTTAGTCTGGCGGAAGTAGCTCCCAGTAGCTGAGCCTGTAGAGCCCGCGGTCTCGCGGAGGTAGCTCACACATTAGCTCACACAATCACCAAGCACCCTCTCTCTGGCTCGGTCTCCCTAAATACCGTCAGAGCCGTGTCAGAGGGGGGCGGGGTACAGCTCTGCACAGCGGAGTGCCGAACCTGGAAGTGTTACCGCATGACAACCGCCACTAGACAACAGGATCTTCCCCACTTCCTTCCTCCTAGGGACACCGCAAAGCCTGTGCTGGGCCCCAACAATGAAAACCCCTTGCCGGGACACCGATGCTCAAGACAAACCCACATGACACCGCTGAAAACCCTGGATAGACCAATCGACACCTCTTCGAGTAACCGATGACTTCCATGGTCACGCAAGTACTGACTTCCCCTGGACAATGACAGGCCCTCTCCCCCATTCACCCACGGACAAGATGAAAAAGAGACTCTCAACCCTACGCTCCCCGTCCCAAGTTAACACCCCTGCCAGACAGAGAGTCCTCACACCCACGAGACTTCAGAGACGGCCAGCCAGACCCCTACCAAACTACCTCTTTTTGCCATAGCGATACACACTACTCACAGAGGGGTCAGGCTCGAGAGGTTAGGGGTTGGGGTTAATGAACTTTGGAGGGGTTACCCACATGCGGTCCCAATTACACTCTCTAACAGTGCACCCCCTCATCTGTCCAATTGGTCCTCCCGCTTTCATCCCCCCTCTTACGACCCCCCCACCCCATCCTCCCGACTCCCGTACACTTCACTCTCCCCCTCCCCCGCCTCACCCTCGCTCAATCTCCCCCATGTACCGGACTGCCTCTCAAGATACTGCATGAATCATAACAGGGGGTAATGTAACTGTCACTGTATAATGTATATTGTACGATATGGAATATCATTGAAAAATGTGCACCAGTATATTATGCATATTCAGACAGGGACTTCTAGGTCTAACACTAGACAGATGAACCCTCCCTCCATCTAATTACAATCTGCTGCCTTAGAAGAAATTAGACTTTCCTCTTAGCCCCACTAAATCTTCTTAATTTCTTCTTGTCTTTAGTTGATTGATATATATATATGACTTTTGTATATATAGTCTTGGGCCAAATGCTCGCCACAATAATATATGTCTATATTATTGAAAAGTACTAATACGCAATCTGACTTACGGTTTCTTCAGGTTTATTCTTAGTTACGGATACATAATAAAGCATAATTGTGACGAGAGCAATCTCGCCACATTGCTTTGGAGAAGCCTGGTTGCTCGCCTGCTGCCTTTGGACTATGGCCCCATGTTAAAAGACATCTTTTTCACTGCAGAAAAGACTAATTCGTGCTTTTCTGCCCGGTGTTCGGTAGATTCTCGGATTTACTGAATAAACTCATATAACCCAGATAGGTATGCCATGGAGCCTATTCATGTAATTGAACTCCATGGCAATTGAACTGTATGTGTTTGTGGTCTGAGCGCCATTCAGTATTAATGTGCGCTCAGACCTAAGCTATCTGGGCATATGTTGCATGTCTGTATTTTATGTCATAAATGTAACCTTGTGTATTTTATTGTATTTTACTG